CTTAATCTTTGTATAAAGTAATTGGAAATTTTAGTTTGCAGGTGTGCATTCTGGTTAATTATACCAAAGTGTTCGTATAAGGTCATTTGATATTTGGTGTGGAAAGTAGATCATTGAATGAATAGACATAATTCTGTATATTAGACCTTTTGTTTTGGAGGTGTACCATTTGACAACTATTTTTGCCATTCAACTGCTTCTTCTCCTGGTGCTCACTTTTCTTTTGCTTTTATTTGTCTATATTAAAAAGTCTCATTATATGTGTTTTTGTTTTGTTCTGGAATACATTGTTTCTCATAGATGAATAAGGGTGTATTTCATATGGAATGGCCCAATAAGTCACCAATCTAGTCCAAACTGGTCCTAAGGTGTAATGGCAGGAGGTCCATTACAGTTTGGGAAAGGGCAATTGGTCAAACTTGGCTTTAGGTTCTACAGAACACTCATGTGGGCACTGTCTTGTCCATGTGTGGCAGATTACTTTTAGTCTGCATGCCAGGGTCAGATTGTCAGGTCATTAACTGCATGGCCCACTCCTAACTTTTGCTTATAAAGGGAACCCAAGATACCATTTGCAGGCACACACTCTCACTAAGTTGCCTCTCTTGGGTTCTCCTGTGTCACAACCCCAACTTCCTCTTGGAAAAACTCCTGATTTCCACATAAAGTTGCACTATAAGCCCTAACCGGTTTGGCTCAGTGGATAGAGCGTTGGCCTGCAGACTGAAGGGTCCCAGGTTCGATTCTGGTCAAGGGCATGTGCCTTGGTTGTGGGCACATCCCCAGTGGGGGGCCTGCAGGAGGCAGCTGATCGATGTTTCTCTCTCATCGATGTTTCTGGCTCTCTATCCCTCTCTCTTCCTCTCTGTAAAAAATCAATAAAATATATTTTTTTTTAAAAAGTTGCACTATAAGCCTAACTCTTGCACTTACTTTTATAAAAAGCATTTTATTTAGAATAACAATGGCCATTATGGAGAACTTTTGGCATGTCAAAATCAACAAATTAATTCATTTATAAGGAACCCCAGAATAAATGAATACATTTAAGAGGAACCCCAGAAATCTAAAAAGTCAAGTTTGCTTCTTTAACTAGTATGCTGAGGTTTAAAAAACAAAAATTGAACTCCAGCATGGTCTTTTCAAAGACTCTGAAACCAACCCTAATTTAATTTCTCTCTCTTTCCACTCATCTTTACCTGACCTTTGATGTGAGCCACTCATTTTTCAGAGTTTTATTGGGGGGGGGGGGAAAAAAGAAAGTTTCAATCACAATATAAAATTGCAGCAAAATCAGGCAGCTCTAAAGAAGTTGAATGAACCATTCTTTGGTTTTTGTTTGTTTGTTTGTTTGTTTGTTTGGCTGTTGCTGATGTTTTTAGTTCAAATAAATAGAATTGTTTTTTAAAAAGAAGTTAAATTTAAACCTTGGTCTAGATAGAGCCATATTAAGAGTTATAATTAAGGATTTTCCTAATCCGCAGGAAGCCAGGTAGAAATCTGTTACATAACTCAAGATTTTATTAGATAATTATTGTTCTGAACTACAGATCAGTACAACAAGTTCAGTTGTTAGACCTTCAACTGGAGAAAAAAATTGTTTAAAACCAGAAGGGTAAGAAAGAAAACATTGTAATAACTCATCTGTGTCAAATGAAGAAAACAGTGTCTTCAGATAACAAGAAAAAAATTAAAATACAGTACAAAAGACAATTCCAGAAGCCTTTTTTAAACAGTTACATTGAATAAAGATTCAAAATTATAAACTAAATAAATAAAAACAAATTTCAAGAAATTTTAAAAGAATATTCTGGAGTAGAACAATAGTTGAAGTTAAGGAGGCTTTTCTTTTTCATTATTGCTTTGTTTTGTTTTGTTTTTCCTTTTTATTCTTATGGGCTCAAAATGAATAAAAGGATTTAATGAGAAAAAAAATAATTGAAATCCAAAATGAACTGTTTAGAAAATATTCAATATGTGGGTGGACATTTTCAGAGAGCCTCAGAAAGTAAATGAGCTAGAAATCTCCAGATAAGACAACTGGCTTCTGAAAGGAAAACAAGACTAGAAGGTCTTCTATCCTCTGAGAACTGGGAGTCTATAGGTAAATACAGTTGTAGATAGTACAGTAGGTCCTCGGGTTACGTCATAACGCAATTTTCGCCCTAAGTCAGAACCCACCTACATAAGCACCTACGTCACTCACATGGAGCACAGACACAGCAGTAATGAAGTGAAACAGTAAAAAAAAAATTAAAAGAAAGATAACAATTCCCGACCTTTACTTGTGATAAATAAATAAATAATAAAAAACATAAAGCACATATGTACATACATCGAAATGACGGAACTTTTTTTTTCTATAAATAAATGGAAGATGGCGACATAACCACGGACCGACCAATGTAACCCGAGGACTGTCTGTATAAGCAGAAGGGTCATTGGAAGAACCAATGTCCCTTTTTGACTAAGAAACAGAAAGATGACCATCTAAAATCTGTCCAGTGATGCTGCTCCAAAGGAGACATTAGCACCCAACAACTTCAACCCTTCCTCTAAATTGAAGTCCCCAAATCTCAGAGAGACCAGTGTGCAACCACATCAATTATACTCACCATCAAGGTAGAGCTATGCCTAAGTTTGGCTCATCACTCTATTCCCGGCTCCTATGCCAGTGCCTGGCATGGACTAGGTGCTCATTAACTCTTTGTTGAATGGTGAATACATAAATGGATGAAGAGAATGACCTCTTTGTTGACTATGCCTTAGTCCAGTGGTCGGCAAACTCATCAGTCAACAGAGCCAAATATCAACAGTACAACGATTGAAATTTCTTTTGAGAGCCAAATTTTTTAAACTTAAACTATATAGGTAGGTACATTGTTATTAACTTAATTAGGGTACTCCTAAGCTGGCCTTTGCTAAAAACGTCCTCAATCTGATTGAGGTACGTTTGCTGAGGTCGACCCCTTCCAACTCTCCCATCCACACTCATCTTGTATACTTGTTTCAGATAGACAAGTATGGATGGGAGAGTTGGAAGGGGTCGACCTCAGGGAATGTACCTCAAAGCAATGTTCCTCCCCCGGGCTGTGTATCCCACGGCCCGCCTGCGCCACGTCTCCCGTCGCCCGACCGACCGACACCCCCCACTTCTTCTAATGCCACTCCTTCAAAATAGACTCAACCAGGCTGAAAACCGACTTCTGCGCATGGGCCACGAAGTTTCAATCGCACTGTACGTGCGTGCCCGCACGTGGTATTTTGTGGAAGAGCCACACTCAAGGGGCCAAAGAGCCGCATGTGGCTCGCGAGCCGCAGTTTGCCGACCACTGCCTTAGTCCAAAAGAATGAAAGCCTCTGAATTGGGTATGATGCTCCATCACTAATCGGTGTAAATCAGGCTGGAATTATTGTCCCTACCTGGATCCTCTTGCAGGTGCCTGTCTCCCCTCTACCATCCATGCGCCTGTTGATGGGATCACCCTAATGGTTTATAAGTCACCTAGGTTATTGCTTAAGGGGTTTATAATTGAGAAATGTGTAGAAAGGCTCTTCAATGGTGTTGGGGGAATGAGACAAACACTCGAAAATGGGTCGGCAAGGCAGACTTACTTTTGCGCAAAAGGGTGCATTGCCATTAGCAACAATAGGGCAGGCAGGCACACACAATGAGGATTCCACTCCTATTTTTATCTATTCCAGTGATGGTGAACCTATGACACGCGTGTCAGAGGTGCACGCGAACTCATTTTTTTGGTTGATTTTTCTTTGTTAAATGGCATTTAAATATATAAAATAAATATCAAAAATATAAGTCTTGCCGAAACCGGTTTGGCTCAGTGGATAGAGCGTCGGCCTGCAGACTGAAGGGTCCCAGGTTCGATTCCGGTCAAGGGCATGTACCTGGGTTGCGGGCACATCCCTGGTGGGGGATGTGCAGGAGGCAGCTGATCGATGTTTCTCTCTCATTGATGTTTCTAACTCTCTATCCCTCTCCCTTCCTCTCTGTAAAAAATCAATAAAATATATTTAAAAAAAAATATATAAGTCTTTGTTTTACTATGGTTGCAAATATCAAAAAAATTCTATATGTGACACGGCACCAGAGTTTAGTTAGGGTTTTTCAAAATGCTGACACGCCGAGCTCAAAAGGTTCGCCATCACTGATCTATTCCCTGAGGAGTTACTGCACCCCGATTGTCTGAAGGGCATGGCTTCACAGTCTGGCGCCAATGTCTAAGCAGAGAAAGGCAGGCTATAAGGAAGGAGACTGGATGTCTATAGGGGAGTGGGACAAACGACCTCTTCTTCAGGAATGTTTACACTTCTGGTTACTTATTAGATTGTTAACTACCTGCCAGGAGATAGGGGGAGTTAATATCTAAGCTATAACTTTGATGGAAAAGACTTCTTAACTCTTACACAGAGAACACTGGATCACTGGAGTCTCTTTGTGGGAGGGGAAAATCTGTTCAATTCTTGTTTCAATACTTTTCTTTGAGGCAAAGCCAAGAATCTGAGAGCAAGCGCTAAAGGTGGGACAGGGGTTCTGCCTGGTGTGCCTCTGGCATGTTTAAAGCTAACAATAGGAATGGATAAGTCTCCAGGGCAACCAGGACCACTTCCAATCATTCATGCCCTGGGGCTGCCTCAGGAGGTCCTCTGTCCTCTGGGGAACCCTGATGCTTGCGTCCAAGACTGGCCTACTCCGGCTTCCCTTTAGGGCTCCTCTCCCGGGAGTCTCCTGGCTGCAACCTTGGTCCCAGCACAAGGTCTTCCTTGACCTGGGTTTCACCTCCTTGTATCAGGTGGCAGACCAGCTGGTTCAAGTCCTGAACCAGATCTTCTGACTCCTCCCAGAAACCAACCAACTTCTGAGCAGGAAATCTTGCCCCTCCCCAAAGAGTGGGAAACCGCAGAGGAGGAGAGAGATGAAACAGAAGGGAAGGCAGAGGAGGAGAGAGGGGAAGAAAAGCACAAGGAAAAAAGGAGATCCATAAAAAGAAGTAAAATTTGGTTGAAACCTCAAGGTAAGACTTTTTAAAATCCCATTATGTTTTATAGCATCACCATTGTGTCAGGGCCTAGTTCATAGTAAATACTCAGAAAACCACTATTGAAATAATGGAATAAATTAGAGGGCTGGGCTGAAGAGAGATTTCAGTGTCAAATGCTGGTCAAAGGGGAAAAAAAAGAAGAAGAAATGCCCAATGAGTTATGAAATAAATGTGTAGGAGGGAAGATGTAAGACAGATGGAACCAGACGCCTGTCACTGGCACTGAGAGCGTTCTGATCATCCTGGGACAGAAAGTTAAGATGGAATGAAAATGTTGCAAAAATAGTTTTTTAAAATGTCTGCACGTTCTTTGAAATCCTACAAAGATTGCAGGTCATAAGCATTTTTTTAAAAAATTGGCTTGAACCCGATGACAGAGTACAAACATCAGGCAATCTCCTAGGAATTGCTAAAAGTGCTGGCAACTGCATCTTGCAGCCAATCATCAGCCAGTTGAACATTATTAATATGGAGATGGGGAGCTTTGAGAAAGGCTCATTTTATTTCGAGAAGTCTTGTTCAATGGACCAAGGGAGGCCTACAGTTGTCAGTCACAGTTCTTCACGTGCTCTTCACCTGTTCCTTAGTCCCAGTCCTGCCTGGCTGCTCAGGATGCTAGGATACTGACCTTCTGAGCTTTAAAAGGGCCTGTGCAGAGCGAATTCAAAAGCACTTCTTTCAGGCCAGTTAGAGAAATGCTGACAGGAACAGGAAATGCCAGTCCCCACTCCCACCATTTACCCAGACCCTCACTTGCCATCAATAACAGTATCACCCAGAAGCTTGCGGTTTACTGATCCAGTCTTGGAGGGATTTAAACAGCGAGGCTCAGGCTTTGGAAAGCTCTACAGACAGACGATGGCGATGTGTTTTCCCGACGGCTGGCTTTTAAGAGTCCCGCTCCCCCAACTTTTCCAACAGAGCTTAAGAATCCAGAGGGACACATTCTGAAGTGCGCTTTTTAGTGCCAGTATTTCTCGTTGGGGTTGGTGTGAGTAAATCAGAGTCAGAAGCTGGAAGGAGGGTGGAGAGACAGAAGAATCTCACTTCTGCTTGCTTGCCAAGATGTAAAAGGAATTGCCTTTCCCTCTGTAGCATGATATGAAAATAGAATCCAAAAATCCAAGGTTGCTCTTTATATTATTTCAGTACAGCTCAAAGCTTCCTGCATCCAATTTCTGAGCTGGAACAAATCTTAACGCTAATCTAATTTAATTCCTCTCATTTGCCGGGTGAGGGAATTAAAGCCCAGGCAAGGGCAGGGCCTCGTCCAAGGTCACACGTATGTCAGTGGTGGAGGGGAGTCTGGGATTCAATGCTCCTGGTCCCACCCAAACTTTACAGGAAAGATGCCCCAGACGCCCGAGAACTCATAAATACTGCATCTGCTGTTTAAATAAAATATTCTGTTAAAAGTTGCTCAATTAATCCTGGCCTGGCCAAAATGGAAAGAGAGAAAAGATTTGCCTAATAGTTAAGATTTTCCAGAATCTGTTTTGTAACGGTCAGGGGACTAGAGACCATGGAAGAAGGATTTAAGGCAGGTTTGTCCTAAGAGAACTAGAATATTTTACATTCCTATCATTAATCCAGGGTTACATATTTCATCTCTTTATATAATCGCGTGACGTCTCCATTTTACAAATAGTATTTTTTAATTTGCTCCGATTCACAGAGGGAAGCACATATTCTGCATCTCTCCTTAGTAGGCCCAGGATCACAATCCGGACTAACGTGGATACTTATAGTTCAGTGGCCACGCCCCCATGTGCTCCAATTTCAGTCTACGTGAGGTTCCTCAGGCATGCCGTGCTATTTCGAGACCCCTTGCCTGAACATGGGGAGTTCCCTCTGCTTGGAATGCCCTTCCCCCAACTTCATCTCCATAACTTGTACTTATCCTTCAAAAACTTAACTCCAGGGCCACCTCCTCCCAGAAGCCCTTCCCCCTCTCTGGGCTGATTTGGATGGCCTGTTTTGTACTCCTCTAATAACTTCTCATCTGCAAAAGATGGTTAATGATATCCAACGTAAAAACGGTAACAAGAATGAAATGAGGTCATCGTCATGAAAATGGCTAGCACAAGACAATATGTGCACCCTTATTACTATATAGTATGTTATTAACTATCGTGACTTTTAATTTACTTGCCTGCCAGCCTTATGATTAACTACAACTTCCTTGAAGGAAGATAGCAAATATTGCTCAGTTTTTATATTCCTGGCACCTAGCATAGGTTAGATTATTTATTAGTGCTCAATAAATGTTTGGAAAGACTGGATGAATAAACAAATGAAATGTTTTTCCTCCTTTCCTTCCATTAAAATGACTTAATGTCTCATTTCCACACTTTTGACTCTTGGGTAACCTAGGGGAGGAGATAGAAGATGTCACAAGTTTCCCCTCATTTCAAGCCCAACAGTCTCCTCGAAAGAGCTATCTACCTAGGGTTAAACCTGGGAGTTGAAAAGCCATATTCATTTCTGCTTTCATACAAAATGCACTTATCACAGTAGAAGAATTGATATGCTATAAAACACAAGGTCAAAGAGAACTGGAATGGAAACAATAGCGGATAAGAGATGTCGACACTCTTTTGCAAGAGGGAAAGTAAATGGACGAGTGATACGTGACTTAGCAAACTGGAGACCGCTGGAGGAAGCCCAAGTGCCCATGGCAGGAAGCCAACAAGAAGTCACAGAGCCCAGGAGAGTCTCAGGAACCAGGGCATCGGATCTCAGAACAGAGAGGGACAGAGGGGCCAACAATAGGAGACACTCCAGATCCCCTCTCCTGCCCTCCAACTGAAGAAGGAAAGTCTATATTTTGGAGAAACTGGCCTAAGAGGCAGTGGGCTCAGCGGAGCGTGGGTTTAGGCATGGAGCTAGAAGCAGGATTAGAGAAAGACTCCATCCTGAAAGATGAGATTCCCCAGCTCCTTGTTCTGGCTCAGCTCCTGAAACACCAACAGCCGGTTTTATATCCCTCTCCAGCCCACACTAGGCAGAAAAACTAAGGATTCCTCTGTGTAGAAGATACTCAACCAAAGAGAAAACAACTAACGGCACTGGTATTTGGGGTTCCCCAATGAAAATGCCCAGTACCCTCTGGATTATCCTACAGTAGAGCCAACATTAGCCAGCCCTGCCTTTCCACACAGCGCCCCCAACAGCCAAGGAATGGACTCCAAGGATCATCAATCATGTAATAAAAGCCTCTGACATTGAAGATAAAAACTCCATAATAACCGAGAGAGCAGAAGAAATCATTAATTCACAACAACATCAAAATTACCCCCTGAGATAAGGAAAAACAGGGCCTCCATGAGTGAAGACCAGGAAACCAGTGTTTTTAAAAAGTAGTAGGGAACAAGAAAGAGCTTTTTAAAATAAATTTTAAAAAGTGCAACTAGAAATATAAATTTAAATGAAGCATTGCAAGATAAAATTGACAAAATCTCCTGGAAAGCAGGTCAAAAAGGAAAATAAATTTAAAAATAGGACAATAACAATAAGAAACTTACATGGATCGATCCAGGAGCGCTGACATCTTCTAATTATGAATTCCAAAAAGAGCACAGAGAAAACTGAGTAAAATACATTAACCAAAAAACGAATGTCTCCAAAATTTCCCACAATGAAAGATTTGCATTTCCCTATGGAAAGGCCCCAGTGTGTGCTCAACACAATGAATGAAAAAAAAACTCTCCCCAAAGTACATCATTATAAATGCTAGAACCCCAGCAATAAAAGGATCCCAAAAGTTCTCGAAAGAGGAAAACCAGTTCACAAACCAAGGATCAGGAATCCAGGCAGCAATTGGACTTTGCAGGGTCAACACTGGAAGCTGGAAACTGAAAGGCAATCCAGCAATGTCTTCCCCTTCCATGAGAAAATAATCTTCAACCTAGAAATCCCTACCCAGCCAAACCATGAATCAAGGCGAGGGTGAAATAAGGACAAGCAGACAGAGCTGTCACCCTGGGGTTTATGTGGCTGTGATCTGATGGATGGGTGCCCATGTGAAAATGTGAAATGTAAAATAGCACTCCTGCATCCTAGGTCTCAAAGAATTTCCTTACCACTTAGGGAAAGTTACCCGGGAGAGAAGTCGGAGTTCTCATGTGGATGGCAAAGAAATGTCCCAGCGACTAGCCTATCAAGCTTCTAGTGCAAATGGGCACAGCAGGATTGAGGGCTCCAAGAGGGATATATGAGGGGAAAATATCAGATTATCCAATTAATTTAACCAGTTTATTTTTCTAGCTCTTGTCAGAGGATTTGGAGAACTGAGCAAGCAAACAAACAAAAGTGTGATTGTACACTCTGGTAAAGAGGGAGGGTGGGAAGAAAAAAAGAAAAGAAATGCAATCACAGTACATTACATTGCTGAGCTGTAAACAATTAGTCATAATAATATGAACACTGACTTGATTTAATTAAAATGATGAAAGAATAGTACTAGGAGTCTAGAAGAAAGGAAATGAGTCTCTACATGTGTTGTTAAAAAAGCAAAATCTAGAAAATCAATAAATAATTTCTCAAATTGCATAATCAAAGAACAGTAGTAAAAAGCATATTGTTTTAAAATATGTGGTTAATTCTCAGAGGGAAAAAATAAGATTTAAAAAAGGGGTTGCCAATGTGTCTCAGCTGGTTGGGCATCATCCACTGCACCAGGAGGTTGCCAGTTCGATTCCAGGTCTAGGGCACATGCCTAGGTTTCAGGCTCGATCCCCGGTAGGGGGCATGCAGAAGGCAGCTAATTGATGTTGCGCTCTCACATCCATGTGTTTCTCTCTTTCTCTCTCCCCCTCTCTCTCCCTCTTCCTTCCCCTCTCTCTAAGTCAATAAGCCATTCTTTAAAAAACAGAAAGGAAGGGCTCTGAAACGAGGGTAGGGCATGGAGATATGAGGAGTAAGGACTCCTGTTATTCATAAGCCTTTTGTGCCATGTAACTTTTTAAATGCTC